TCCCAGCACCTTGATCAGGTGGCTCACAATCACCTGTAACTCCAGTTCCAGGGGAGCTGAATTCTTTGGGCTCTATAGGCACCTAAAATAATGTGTGCACACATTGACACATAGACACATTCGGATAATTGGCAAAATGATATGATTCTTTCTAAAGATGCAAAACCTAGCCAGCTGCTTCTCATTTTATACAATCACCAGTGGTTCATAGGTGTAATGTCAACACTCAGGATGCTGACACAGTCCTTCCAATGTTTGAGGCTAGTCTCAGGTACATAGAGAAATGGTGTCCCAAAAAAAAAAAAAAAAAAAAAAGGCAAGATGGCCTGCTGTGGTGGCTCATGCCTGCAATCTGTAATTCAGCACTTGGGAGGCAGAGGCAAGAGGGCTGTGTCATGTGTTGGAAGTCTATCTCTCCTGGAGTGGAGGAAATCGTGGCACACAGCAGTTGGGCATGGTGGCATACACTGGAATCCTAGTACATGGGGCTAGGGTCGAAGGATCTTGCCTTAGCTTTGAAGCTGGCCTTGGCTACATAATAAATAATCAGGACAGCCAAGGCTTGCCTACATACATAGAAAAGCCCTGTCTCACTGCACTCTCGTTCCTCTAAAGTAGACAGGAGACCAGAACTAACATGAAAGAATGTCACCAGATATCAAGTAAACATGTGGAAGGATGGTCAACTGTGCCCTTAGAGCCTCCCACAGCAAACCCACAATGGCCTGCTATACAGCTGGGAGCACCAGATGCTGGTGTGGTGCACCTCCATCAGAATACTCAGCTTGCCAGCACACAACTAAACATAATCTTGCCACGGAATGCAGGAATCCTGCTCTTCAATATTTTCTCAAACAAGTTGAAAACGTAGGTGCCCACAATAAACTACCCGGAAGCTTACTCTTGTTCACTGAGACCTGGAAGCAGCCAGTGCGTACTGTGGTGGGCAAATGGGAGTTTACTCAGTGCTAGAAAGAAATGAGAGACTCGGCATAGTGATGCATGTCTGTAATCCCCGCACTCGGGAGGGTGAGGCAGGAGGATTACTGAGAGTTCCAGGTCTGTGTGAATTCAAAGCCATGCTGTGCAGGCTAGTGAGGTTGTGTCTCGGTAAGTAAAAGGAAGTAGAACACTTGTCCAGCACATAGCCCTGGGTCCAGTCCCTACTAGTGAAGGAGGAGGAAGGAAAGGAAATGAATAGGTTAAAATGATGTAAGCTAGGACCCAGCTCTTGAGAGTAGAAAATAGGCAGATCAGAAGTTGAAAGCCATGCTCAACTACACCCAGGACTTGAAACCAGCCTGGGCTGCATGAGACCCTGTCACAAAAACAAAACTACTAAGTTCAATGCATATTAGTATACATGGCATTTAAAATGAAAGGTGACTACTAAAGTTTGAGTGAGACCAATGCTGTTTTATATGCTTGCAAGTGGCTATGATACCTGACTTAAGAGTTGGAAATATATTACAGTCTACTGCAATACCACACATCATTTACTCTGCAAAAATGATACTGTAATTTATGTCAAAATTTTTCATGAAAATGCTTCAGGATGTGCTGGGAACAAAGCTTGGTGACAGAGTGCTTGCCTGGTTTGATCTCCAGCAGGAGAGAAGAGAAGTTTTCCATAGAGTCCATCTTGAGAGACCCCTGTGTGGCCCGTCCAGTTCATAGCACTCATGTCCAGCTGCCTGAACTATGCAAGCTCTTCCTGGTCACTCCAGCCTCACAAGGCTGAGTACCAGCCTTCCCTACCACTTGTGTGTGAAAATCCCAACAGGTTTGACACCTGCCTCTGCAGCTTTCTCCCTCATGACTAAGCCCTGAGCCTGACTTGATCTGCTACCGACTTGAGCTGACAACTGCAAAGTGGAATTGCTACCAACTAGACTAGCCAGGCTGATAAGGCCAGTAACCCAAAGCTATCAGTGGAATGAATTCCCACAACACCTCACTACAAAAGTTAGTTTAAAACAGGATCTTAGGCTATGTATGTAACCTAGGCTGGAATTTGCAATCCTCCTGCCTCAGCATTGTAAGTGCTAGAACTATAGACATTTTCTGCTACACCCAGTCTCTACAGCCTTTATACATATATTTATATGTTAAAATATATGTCATCTTATATGCCATTGTGGGGTGTGTGTGTGTGTGTATGTGTGTGTTCATCAATTTCTAGCTTGTTTTTGAGACAGAGACTCTGCTGGAACCCAGAGCTCACTGTTGGCTGCATGGCTGGTCTGGGATTCTCTGGGATTCTCCTAGCTCTGTTCCCCGAGGCTGCTGCACCTGGCTTTTTATGTGGGCCCTGGGGATCATGCTTGGGCAGCAAGTCCTTTACCCACCAAGTCACTTCCTCAGCCACTGTGTTCGTATTAGCATGTACGTATAACTTCTTTCCTCTCCACCTGGAGAATGTAGTGAGGTGTTGTGGGAATTCATTCCACTGATAGCTTTGGGGTACTGGGCCTTATCAGCCTGGCTAGTCTAGTTGGTAGACCATGAGACTCTTAATCTCAGGGTTGTGGGTTAGTGCCCCACATTGGGTGCCAGTGAAATGTGAAGGTATAAAAAGTGATTTATTAAAGGGTGCGATGAAAAAGAGAAACTCACAGATAGAGAGTGAGGCTGATGCCTCCACCACAGATTTGGTACCACCTCTCTGCCCTTTGGGACACCAACCACCCAAGCAGTAGCCTGAAAGAATGCATTCTCTCTCTCTCTCTCTCTCTCTCTCTCTCTCTCTCTCTCTCTCTCTCTCTCTCTCTCTCTGTCTCTCTCTCTCTCTGTCTCTCTCTCTCTCTGTCTCTCTGTCTCTCTGTCTATCTCTCTCCATCCCTCCCTCCCCTTTCTCTCCTCTTTCTCTCTCTCGCTCTTGCTCTATCCTCCCCTCTCTATCTCTATCTTGTTAGTTGTGATGTACCAGCTAAAGCCACACCCTAAGGCTGGTACCTCAAAGGTATTGGCAGAATGAATTCCCACAACAGTGAGGTGATCCCTTTTCTAGTGTTTTCAGCAGGAAACAGTATTCAAAGCCATAGCTAAGCCGTGGAGTCAGACTCAGCGGAGCTCATGCCCCACATCCCATGTCTTTCCTGTGTTGTGTGTGAAGGCACATCTGTGCTCCCCAGTCACCACCCTTCTTAGCACAGCAAATCAGCTTCTGAGTGAGGCTGAGTTTTTTGTGTGCTCTGTGGCTAAAGTCATAGTTCCCCACTGGGGCAGTATCTGGAGACACTGTGGTTATGACTGCTGTAGCATTTAGTAGGCAGAGACTTGGGGCAGTACCAAATGCAGACTTGCAGAGCACAGTGAACACTCATCCATCTCCAAATGCTGGTCTTCTGGGACTGAGAAACCCTGGTTTAGGGGCACTCTGGATAGTAGGGGACAGAAATCTTATCACATTAAAAAAAGGGGGGGTTGGGGGTGAGGCAGAAAAAAAAGTACCACAAACAAAGATAGTAGCTCCAGTAATTGTAAAGATGTTCGTAAAAAATTGGAATATTTGAGGTTTCTCGGAAAGGGGGCCATTGATTTTTGAAGAATTTTTTGAAACAGGGTCTCATTATTTAGCCCTGGCTGGTGGAACTCACTAGGTAGGCAATTTGATCTTGAACTCAACACAGATCCACCTACCTCTTCTGGAGTGCTGGGGTTAAAGGCATGTGCCATCACACACCCAGCTTGAAACACTGAATGAAAACTTTAAGAAAATACTTGGAGAGAATTTGAGACCAGATTTTACCCCACAGCTTAAGCTAACCTGCAGTTTGCTGTGTAGCCTATGCTGACCTCAACTTCACAGCAGTCTTCCTGCCTTGGACTTTTTAAGAGCCGGGATTGCAAACTCAAGTCACCATGCTCAGCAAGATCATTTTTGGAAAAGGGTTTTTGAGATAAGATTTTCTTGGGGTCATCCTTACAGAAGGTAATGAATATTTAAGCTTTACTCGTAATTTATCTTGTAAGGAACAAGATCCTACATTAAACTAATCAGAACTGAATCAAATCAGTGTCGAGGGGATTTCTAACTTAAAATGTACCCAAATGCAGTCTCAGAGCTGATGCAGAGAAAACTCACTATTAGTTATCATAAGTGTTTATGACATTCTACTGGTCATGGGGTATTGTGAAGAACCTGTCACTTGTCAGTAACTTGGGATGTTTACTTACATGTCAAAATCTGAGTCTATATTCCTGTGTCAGACCTTCCTTAACACTTGGGCTTTTCTGGGCAGTTGTCAGCATTAAATCCAAGTCAGAAAAAAAAATCCAAGTCAGATAAACACTGATTTACCCTTTCTGGCCGTTATCTTTGTAAAAAAAAAACGTTGAGTCCTTGCTTCCTCCTTCCCTTTCTCCCTTCTTCTTCCTTCCCTCCCTGTGTCCTCTCTCCTTTCATTCCTTTTTCCAGAGACAAGATTTCACCTATGGCCAGGTACCCTGGAACTCATGGTGATCCTCCTGTCTCAGCCTTTCAAATGCTGCCTTTGGCCGGGCGTTGGTGGCGCACGCCTTTAATCCCAGCACTCGGGAGGCAGAGGCAGGCGGATCTCTGTGAGTTCGAGACCAGCCTGGACTACCAAGCGAGTTCCAGGACAGCCTCCAAAGCCACAGAGAAACCCTGCCTCGGAAAAAACAAAAACAAAAACAAAAACAACAACATCAAATGCTGCCTTTGCAGGTATGTGCAGCCATGTCAGGCTCCTGCCATTGCCTTTTAGCAGTGCTGATTCTGTTTGGGGGTGAGCTGTGAGCACGTGACTCATAATTGCCATGTCTTCTTTCATGCTTTAATGCACCACAGCTGTATCAAGCCTTTTTGCTACTCTGAACAAATCTAGAAATGGTTAGATGCTTTTGGCATGCTTGGCAGTCATGTGCTTTGGGCTCACTGCTATAGGGCCCAACTGCCAAACCTCCAACTTGCACAGTGGGTATGAGCTTTTCACTGTGGTCCTTGAGCAAAGAGCCTTTGGAGTCACCTCCTCCAGGTGTCATTTCAGGTGAACCATTGTCTCCCAGAGAAGATCGTGGTGTACCGAGATGGAGTGTCTGATGGCCAGCTAAAGACAGTTGCCAACTACGAGATTCCTCAGCTGCAGAAGTGCTTCGAAGCCTTTGAGAACTACCACCCTAAGATGGTGGTGTTTGTAGTTCAGAAGAAAATCAGCACCAATCTGTACCTGGCTGCTCCTGACCACTTTGTGACCCCTTCCCCTGGGACTGTAGTCGACCATACCATAACCAGCTGTGAGTGGTAAGTAGACAAAATGTTGAAGAAGGCAAGATCTGAAGGAGCTCAGTGATGGAGCAGTAGTCCTGTGTGAGCACGGGCTCATCTCTACCAACCACAGATAGACATGCACATGTGCACACACAAGCACACATGTACAGACACATACACATGTATACATACAAGCAAACATGCACAAGCACTTCACCACAAAGCTGTGTTCAGAGCTCTAAAATTAAAAAAAATTTTAGACAGGTTTCTCTGTATTGTCCTAGCTAGTCTGGAAATGGGCTCTGTAGACCAGGCTGGCCTCAAACTCACAGAGATCCACTTGTTTCCACTGCGATTAAAGGAATACACTACTGCCACCCAGCTAAAAACATGTTTTTAATGACAAAACTTTTACTTCTTACATGTACCCCTGCTTTGTTCCTTTGAGATAGGGTCTCATGTAGCTCAAACTGTCTATGTAGCCCAAGCTGATCTCAACAGATGGCTTGCCTCTTTATCCTCCCCAGGGCTGAGATTATATCCATGAGCCCCCCCCCCACACACACACACCAGTGTTGTTTGGTGTAATTGACTTTACCGTTTCCTCCCTGAGCCCCGTGTCCCTGTGTGATAGGACTGTGGTGATCTTTGAAATGCCTGTCACCAGTTGGTGCTCTTTGTTTGCTAGGGTGGATTTCTACCTTCTTGCCCATCATGTTCGGCAAGGCTGTGGCATACCTACACACTACATCTGTGTCTTGAACACTGCAAATCTGAGCCCCGATCACATGCAGAGGTAAGCCTGTCTGAAACGTACTTGTTCTCACTGTTTTCCCGACTACTAGCTAAGTCACTAGTCACTGTCTCTCAAGATAGCTTATCCTTTTAGTTCGTGTGTGTGTGTGTGTGTGTGTGTGTGTGTGTGTGTGTGTGTGTGTGTGTGTGTGCGCGCTGGAGGCTGAGATCAACTTTAAGTGTCTACCTAGATTTTTGAGACAGTGTCTTTCACTTGGATCTAGAGTTCCAGTTAGACAAGGTCTCTGTCTCTGGTGTTGAGATTACAAGCACACACCATGTGGTTGCTGGGAGCTGAGTTCCAGTCCTCACAGTTGTGCAGTAAGCCTTTACCAACCGAGCTGGCTACCAGTATCTGACCCCTTGACTCTCCCAGGTGTTGATAATAGTCATTATCTTTGTGAGGAGTCATTTGTAATCCTGCTTTATATTAAAAATCACTTGAAGAGCTTTAAGAAAACGGCTGCCTGCCAGCCCTTAATCTTGTGCATTATAAAGCAATGGTATTTACTTAATTTCTTTTAGAAAAATAGTCTTGCTGTGTTGCCCAGGTTGGTCTCAAACTCTTGAACTGAAGTCATGTTCCTAACTCAACCTTCTAAGTATCCAAGATTACAGGGCACACTACTATGCCTACTGGCATTTATGTTTTAAAAGACTGCTTCAGCTACATGTGGTAGCACATGCTCATAATTTTATCACTCAAGAAGTCTGAAGCCAGAAAAGCACCTAGAATCACCAGCCTGAAGGACATAGTTGCAGGTCATTCCCAGCTATATAGAAAGACCTTGTCTCAAAAAGCTAGCTAGCAGCTGGGCAATGATGGTACAGACCTTTAATACCAGCTCTCAGGAAGCAGAGGCAGGCAGATCTCTATGAGCTCAAGACCAGCCTGGTCTATAAAGGGAGTTCCAGGATGGCCAGGGCTGTTACACAGAGAAACTCTGTCTTGGGGGAGGGGGCGCTAGCTAGATGAAAGATAGATGACTACTGCCAATGACTATGACACAGCCACGTTTATGATGTAGAGACCCGTTAGACCCTTTTAGCCTTTTCCTGTAGACAAAATAGGTTTTCCCTTTGTGGTGTTTTTCTTCTTTCATTGTATTGTATTTTACATGTGCAATGCTTTGCCTGCATGCATATATGTATACCATGTGTGCTTGATACTTGTGGAGGCCAGAAAAGGGTATCAGATCTCCTGAAATTGGAGTTGTAGATGATTGTGAGCTGCCATGTGGTTGTTGGGAACTAAACCTGGATCCTCTGGAAGAGCAGCCAGTGCTCTTTAACTGCTGAGCTATTTTTCCAGCCCCCCTTTTTAAATTAAAAACAAAAGCAAAAACAGAGACGTTCCTAAAATGAGAAGATACCTATCCTTTGGCTTAAGTGGAAATATAAACAATTCCATAAAAAACAGAGAAGTTCCCAAAATGAGAAGATACCCATCCTTTGGCTTAAGTGGGAATGTAAACAATTCGATAAAAAGTAATGGTTTCTCTCTCAGCCCTAGTGGCTCACTCTTATTTTCCTAGCACTTGAGAGGCTGAGGCAGGAAGATCCCTGGCAGCTAAAGGACAACCTGGGCTACTGGAGTTCTAATCCCGCCTAGGCTAGATAGTTGAGAACCTGTACCAGCAAAACAAACCAACCAACCAAATATAAAGCCAAAAATTCCTGAAAATGGCATTAGGTTTCCCAAAATCCCCCAGTTTGTTGTGGGTGTGCTATGTGTATCCCCAAGAGAGTGAAACCCTACCCCCACCCCTTGGTGAGGACGGAAGTGATAAAGAACACATTTTCATCTTAACTTCAGGTTGACTTTCAAACTGTGCCACATGTACTGGAATTGGCCTGGTACTATCCGAGTTCCAGCTCCTTGCAAGTATGCCCACAAGCTAGCCTTCCTGTCTGGACAGATTTTGCATCACGAACCAGCCATCCAGCTGTGTGAGAACCTGTTCTTCCTGTAACTGGCAGTGTGGACACTGGCTACAAGGAGTAACTGGACTGTAGCTCCGCCCATTCTCACAGAATCAGCAGAAACGGCCTTGGGATTCTATGTTGGCATTTTCTCTTTCTCCATCCTTGTAGAATTAGATTTCTGTTCTTCCTTTAACCCTGATATTATAGTAGAGTGTGGTGGGGCATGTCTGTTACCCCAGCACTCAGGAGATTGAAGTAGAAGGATCTTTAGTTCAAGGGCAACCTGGACTACATGGTGAGTTCCAGGCTAGTCAAGGCTACAGAGTGAGACCCTGTCTCAAAAAACAAAAACAAACCCCCATCCCCCCAAAGCCCACAACAAAACCAAACCCTGATGTCAAGGAAGCAAGTTTCTAAGTACCAGCTACAAGCGCCTCGCTGCCTTTGTAGAGCACAGTGGTGTCAGGAACTTCTAGGGGGCTGGGGCAGTGATAAAGCATTTTCTTAGCATGTAAAATCCTGAGTCCAGTTCTCAGCAATCCTCCTGCCAAGTAAGTAAAGACAGAAACACTAGTCCCCAAGGCAGCATGAGCATCAGTTATACCTGGAGGTCATGCCTACAGGACCATTCTATTTCTGGTGCCAGAAGTGATATGAATGAAGTCATTGCAGACATCTAAATAAGAGAATTACTTTATTTGGACAACTGAGAGGGCTATAGAAAGGCCTGTGCAGCATAATGTTTCAGAGAGCACAGATTTATACATGTGTGAAAGACATGTAGTTAAACCAGCTTAAGGCATAGTCAAGCCCTTGAACCCACTTGTCCCAGGGAAGTAAGTGCAGCTATTCTGGCTTCCTTGGAATCTGGCTGAAGCTGCTTTTTTGAACTTTTCAGCCCCTGACAGTTGGATGCATGCACACACATACACCTTTGCTCTTTGTGGCTGATCACCAGTAAATTTGATCAGAATACATGGCAAGAATTCAGCAGAGCTAGGAACATTCTGGATGTAGTGTAGGTTTTTTTCTGCAAATGTCTATAAATGAGATTTTGCAAGAGTTTCTTCCAGCTGTGGGCTGACGTTGCATGGAATTTTTCAAAATCCAGGTTCAGGCTTCCCAAAATTGGCTTGGGCAAAAGTGATGCTGTCACTTGAGTGAGACATGTAGGAAGTTGTCACCAGTCCTGTGGGCTTCAGTGTTTTGGGGAATTTTGGTTTTCTGTGTGGTTTTCTTCTCTCTCTTTTTTTTCTCCTTCTGTTTCAGAATCTTCAAATTTCTTCAGGTTTAAGTGGATCATCCCTTTCCTGGGTTTTAAAATCTAATTTTACCTAACCTTTTCAAATTTGTATGTATCTATGTATGTTTTGGTATGATGGCTAGATGGTGGGGACTGAGCAGAAATACTCATTTTAAATGCCAGTGTGTGAGAAGAGCTTCATCATGAGACAGTGAGGAGAAACTGGGGCTGCAGTAGACAGTGTTAGCATGCTCTCCAAGCACGTGCCAGGTTCTGGATTTAAAGAAGACTTTAGTTTGTTGCAGCACCCTGAGGCTAGGGAGGGATGAGTGTTGGGGTCTTCAAATGCACCCCTGGTTTTATTTGGAGTCTATGACCAAGGCTAGACTGAGACCTGAAATGCAAAAGCCACAGAATTAAACAGAACAGACTGAAAACTGGGTCTTTAGCTGAACAGATTCCGCTTTCTGACTTCTTTGGAAGTAGTTTGAGTTTGTCCTTAGAAGGTGCTGCCCCCAGCACTGCTTTTCCCTTTCAGTAGAGCAGATACTTAATGGTAACGCCAGAATGTCGACTTTCTGTACCTGATGTTCTTGCCCTGTTTTTCAGTTTCAGTGCCAAGCAACGAGCCCAGTGGTGTAAAATAAAAACAATCTCTGTGTGTAGTTGTGTCTGAAAGAATGTGGTTTGTTTATTAAATGGCTATAATGCTTTTCCTCCAGAGAGAAGCAGAAGTTACTCATCTGTTATTCTGCGTGTTGGGGGAGGCACCATTGATAGCCAGGCTGGGGACCAGACAGTAAAGCACTGAAGTTTTGAGTATGTGCTTAAACTGTTTGTCGGTCAGCTCAACTTCCAAGTGCCTTCTCTACCATTAAAAAGTTTTTTTAATTACATTTACTTACTATATGTAGGGAGGCAGGGAAAAATACTTGTCACAGTGTGTATAAAAATTTTTAATTTTTGAGATGGAGGTCTCACTGCATTGACCACACTGGTCTTGAGCCCTTAAACATCAGTGGTCCTTCCTTCTTCCCTAGCTTCCCAGGGAGCTGAACTACACTTAGGTGTGTGCTACATACCCTGCTATTTTTTTAAAAATAAAAGTCAGTGCAGAAATTAATAGAAGACAAAAGAATGACAGAAAAAAACAACGAAACCCTAAGTTGTCTTTTTGAGAAGACTAACACAATGGATAGATCTTTAGCTAGACTGGTGAATAATAAAAGGGATGACCAGTGAAACCGCTACATACGTGTCACCAAGCCTGACATCCTGAGTTCAGTTCCTGGACTCACGTGGAAGGAGAGAACTGATTTTCCCCAAGTTGTCCTCTGACCACTCACTGTAGCATCTCCATACACAAAATAAATGTGAAACATGTTTCTAAGGGAGTTAGAGAGAGGGCTCAGAGATTGTGAGTACTGGCTCCTCTGCAGAGGACCTGGTTTGGGTCCTAGCACCCATATGCTCACAAACCTTCTGTAGCTCCTGTTCCAGGGAATCCAGTACCCTTGTCTGACCTCTGCAGGGACCAGACATGTATGTGGTGCATACACATGCATACAAGCAAAAATACACATAAAATATAAAAAAAAAACAGAATAAGAAGAGTCAAATTACCAAAAGCAGGGAGAAAAAGGTTTTGGAATACTAGTAATAGGTGTTTCCCCAATTAGAATTCCCGTTGATAATTACTCCGGAGCCAAGTGTTCTCCCAGTTGCTGTTTTGTCTGACTGGGTCAGAAGTTCCTATGTGATTCACAGCCAGGGTCACTGACCATCATCTGAGCTTTGCCTAGCAGCAGAGGGTGTTAACACATGGACCTTTGGGTCCTTCAGACTGATTTTAGGGTGAGGGACACATTCATGTTTTCTCTGATCCTCTTAAATGTTAAGTCCTACTAGAACATGGGAAAAAAACTCAGAAAATCCCCCAAAAATCCCCAGAGGAAATAACTAACAGTCTGGAAAAAAGCTGTGGATTCTTGGCCAAACCAACATGGTTCGAAACTGATGGGAAGGATGAGGAGTCTTGGCTGCCCAGCTCATTCCCTGCCTGTCTTGTCAACACAGTTGACTCAGGGGACTGTGGCTTTCTGGGTCTTCAGCCCCACCTTCTACATTACAGAATGGGTGTCTCATTTCTCTGGCTTCATCTGCAGGACTATTCTCACCTCTTCTACGGGAAATCCATCTGCATATGTTGGCAGGGCTGTGACCATGTCAGTTTCTTGTGTTCAGTTCCCTTAAATATTGCCCAACATCCAATTTTTTTAGGGAGCTGTTAGCCAGTCCAAATATTTTTAGAGAATCTTTTATGTGCAAACTGCTGTATCACAGGATTCAGGTACAGATTGAAATCTGTTATAATCATGGCAGGTTAAGGTCTAAGGTTAGGGATAGAAATAAAATACTTTGGGTCCCAACAAGGTGGCTCAGAGGGTAAAGGCACCACTACCAAGCCTAACGACCAGAGCTCAATTCCTGAGACCCACGTGGAGGAAAGAAAGGACCAATTCCCTGCAAGTTGTCCTCTGACCTCCACACACGTGTCCTGGTGCCCAAGCATGTACAAACACATACAATAAATGAATAGATAAGTATAATAGAAAATAAAAGGCTTGTATTAGAAATGAAATGCTTTCAAGCAAGGAATGCAAGTTCTATAAATCATATTAATTCATATTAAATCATATTAATCCAGCTATGGTCACAAAATCAAATTTGGTGGGTTTGTTACTAGCCTTGAAGTCATAGAGCTCTGACTGCTCTTGCCTCTTGAGTGCTGGAATTAAAGGGTTGGACCATCATGCCTAGCCCTTTGTTTTGTGGTCCTGGAAGTTGAACCCAAAGCCTCAAGCATGCTAGGCAAATGTTGTACCAAATATACTCTTAGACTCTATTATATGAAATTTTTGCTTGGTATGTTATTTACACTAGAGTTGTGGCACTATATTATTTTTTCTTTAATTTTACATGTATGAGTGATGTGCCTTCATGCCTGGAAGTATAATGTGTGCACAGAGACCAGAATGGGGGTGGGGTAGGGGGGTCAGATTCCCCCACAACTGGAGTTACAGAGGGTTGTGAGAAACCAAGTACATTGCTTTTTTTTTTAATACGGGTTTCCAAAAAGTCTGGAAAAGTAGATCTGATATACTTCAGAACAATTAAACTAAGAGAAAAGTGGAAAGGTGGGGGTGAGAGAAAAGGGGGACAGTACAGTAAGGGGGCGGGGACACGGTGGCATAGGACCTAGGCTTCAAACTGTTCCTGTGTGTGGTGAGCATCACTGTCATGGACAAGGTAGGACCTAGCCTGGGTATGTCATCTAACCAGGACATGCCTCCTGAGGAAATGTATGTGGGGCGGAGGCAGAGACTTAGGACCTTCTGATTTTGAGCTATGTTAATGATTAATTGTATTGCTCTTGTGTGTAGCTTATCAGCTTGAGATAGCTTATCAACTCCAGTTGCCCCTGTGGACTTTGACAGTTCTACAAACAAGTGACAGTGCCACATAGATAGGTCCTGAGATGGGGTGTCAGTCACCCCTGTCTTTCCCACTAGTACTTTTTGTTTGCTTGTTTGTTTGTTTGTTTGGAGACAGGGTCTATTTGTAACCCCAGTTGACCTTTCACTATGGAGCTGAACTGGCCTTGAACCCTTGATGTTTTTACTTCACTGACCAAGTGCTGGCATTACAGTCAGAAGCCACCATGCGGAGCTCCCCACTATGGACTCTTGGACAGCTGTATAATGTAAGCTGTAATCCTGACACCTTGCATGGAACCCTGTGGCATGTGTACTGACAGGCTTCTTTCTATTCAGAGCTCTATGTCTCTAGGTGGGCTTTTCATTCTTTTTTTTTTTTTTTTTTTTTTGGTTTTTTACGAGACAGGGTTTCTCTGTATTGTTTTGGAGGCTGGGCTTCTCATTCTTACATATGCCTTCGAGGAAAGGCCTGATGGGGGACTACCTTTCCTGACAGCCCATTGCACTTTGGAGCTCAAGTGAATGACATAACGTCTGAAAAACACTAAGTTTAACCAAGACAAATATTCAGTGTTATTACAGAGTTGAAGGGGCTCTGGAGGAAATTCTGCAAGAGCTATCATTACCTCTGAATCACTCAAAGTAAATGAGAGGGCTATCACAGCTCTCCCCCTTACCCACTGGAGTACTGTAATTACAGAGTGAAGATAAATGAATTTTGGGAGAACATAGTGACCAGAAGAAGCTGGATGACCTCAGTACCTTTATATCTTTTGTATATGCTAGGCAAGACATTGATTAATCAATTTACAGACAGGGTCTCAGGTGGCTCAGGCATGGCCTCAAACTCATTGAACCGAAGGGTGATTTTAAACTTGTGATCCTTCTGTCTCTACTTCCCAAGTGCTGTATTACAAGAGTGCATTACCAGACTGGTTTTGCTAGTCTTGAACCTATGGCTTCATGCAGACTTATGCATGCACTGGACCAGCATGTACCCAGTCCCCCTTTTACCTTTTGTTTTAAGAAAGGGTCTCATGAAATTGCCCCAGCTGGTCTTGAACTTGAGATCCTCCTGCCTGCAGAGTAGCTGAGATTATATAGGTCTGCACCACCAGGATTGGCTATTATCCCTCCCACCCACTCACGTTAGTGCGTTTTCTCTAGCCAGCCCTGAAGAGCAAGCTGCCACTGAGCACTGGCGTCCTTCCTGCCACCTGTTCTAGGAACTCTGGGTTCCTTTCCTATTTCTTCTCGAGTGAACTCCCCAACACTTGGATGCCATCTCTCCACTGCACAGATCTAGAGATGCTCGTAGGCCCTTTCCCGGTGCTGGAATAGAAGCATAGATGCCCATTGGCTCCAGTACCAGTTAAAGTACTCCCACTGTTTCTCCCAGTCCCAGGTGACAGCTAGTAAAGCTGTAGAGGAAATAATCCTGCTAAAGTCCAGCTGCATAGAACAATAAGGGTTTAGTGGGTGGTTTGTTTTTCTCAAGAAATTTGCATATCCGAGGCTCGTTATCCAACACAATAGGCCTTCCCTACAACGGAAGTGACTCCCTCCTAAGACATTGCTCAAACAAAACCTAAGGCTTGACTGGCTCCATAGGAATCTGATTACTGCGAGAGAGTGGTGCGAAAATCTGAAAAACCTGAAATGTGAATATAATCTTTTATTTGGATCGTGACAAGACCTTTTGGTTCTTTGGTTGGCTGGGGCATGCACAGGAAACATAGGCTATGAGTTGCTCCATCCTGCTTAGAGAACATTTTAGAATTGGGGAAAACAGAGAGAAGCCCCTTAGATTCATCAGCAGTGTTAAAATACGTATTTCTACCAAGGCAGGGGCTCTCTACTTCAGGATGGAGGCCAGTTTCCCTCAAAGGGCGCAGAAGGACAGATGGGAGGTTTCCAGAGAATAGAGGAGCCTTCAGGGCCTCTATGAGTCAAGGATGTAATTTGAGAGGGAGGGTGGGTGAGGCCGTGAGAGGTAGGATGCGAGTCCGGGATGCACAGCGCTAAAGGACCAGGTTGGCTGGAGTAACTGGACGCTGCTCTCTGACCGCCCCACGTGGCAGGCCCGGGGGAACGGGGCGGGGCGGCAGGCAGGGGCGGGTCCTGCGGTGACGCGCGGGTATATGACCGGGCATGCGCACGCGGCGGGG